GTGCCCCCACACAAACGCCCCCCCCGCCCCCCCCCCCCGCCAGTCAGTCGACATCCTGTACTTCAGCAAGACGGAGGTGCACCTATTCGACTACAGCAACCCCAAGGTAGCCGACACTTGGTACGCCGACCTGGAAGGCTCGTTTGTACCGGACGAGGACTGCACTTACGAACTGGGACTTGTCGTATCTGGAACCGCCAAGGCCTTTGTCAACAACGAGCTCATTGTGGACAACGCCACAAAGCAGGTTGCTGGAGATGCCTTCTTTGGCGCAGCCACACGCGAGGAGAGAGGGTTTGTTGCCTTGAAGAAGGGCGAAAAGTATGACTTGCGCGTTGAGCTTGGCTCTGCACCTAGGTTCACCCTCAAGGGCGATGCGTCTGTGCCCGGCCACGGGTCCCTCGGCGTCGGTGGCTGCAAGGTCATCGACGACCAGGAAGAAATCAAAAAGTCGGTCCAGCTGGCCAAGGAATATGACCAAGTCATTATCTGCGCCGGTCTCAGCTCGGACTGGGAAACCGAGGGCGCTGACCGAGTGAGCATGAAGCTCCCCGGTGTTTTGGACCAGCTAATCACCCAAGTCGCCGCTGCAAACTCCAACACTGCTGTGGTCATGCAGACCGGCACGCCCGAGGAGATGCCTTGGCTCGAAAAGACGCCCGCCGTTGTCCAGGCTTGGTATGGAGGCAATGAGACGGGCAACTGCATCGCTGACATTTTGTTCGGCGACGCCAATCCCTCCGGCAAGCTTTCTCTTAGCTTTCCCAAGCGACTTCGGGACGTTCCATCCTTCCTCAACTTTCGGGCCGAAGCTGGGCGAACACTGTACGGAGAGGACGTGTACATAGGCTACCGATACTACGAGTTTGCTAATCGAGCCGTGAACTTCCCCTTTGGCCACGGTCTGTCCTACACCAGCTTCTCCTTTTCCGAACTGTCAGTGACATCGAGCGAGGGCAAGGTGACGGCCGCGCTCAAGGTCACGAATACAGGATCCACAAAGGGCTCCGAAGTTGCTCAGATGTACATACAGCCTAAGCAAGCTGCCAAGATCAACCGGCCCGTCAAGGAACTTCGTGGCTTCGCCAAGATTGAGCTCGAGGCTGGCGAAACCAGGATGGTCACTATTACCGAATTGGAGAAATACGTCGCAGCATACTGGGACGAGGAGCGCGAGCAATGGTACGTCGAGGCAGGCGAGTACGAAGTCATTATTAGCGATAGCAGTGTGGTTCGCGATGAAAAGGCTGTTCGGGGCTCGTTCAAGGTGTCTGCTTCGTATTGGTGGGACGGGATCTAATTCCGAGGATGCGGTTTCATTCCACTGTAGACGGCAGCCGGCGGACATTTATCAGGAGTGCCTGCTTTTACGATTTTGATTCAGAGATCTACTCCAACTAATCATCGCTGTGCGACATGTGAAAGTCTACTGATATCGCAAACGGGTGGAATAACCCCTCCTGACTCCTACTCTCCGTCTCCCATCTCAGGCAGCCAAATTACCAACCGCTCCGCGTTTACCCAAACCGTGGCCTCGCCCACAGCACTGGACACTGCGATACGCCGCACTAGGAGGACAGTGTCCATTCCTCTCCGGGTCAACCACCTTGGCAGTCATCCTCTCCGTCGCCACATGATGCCCTGCTGAAGCCGAGTCCGCATCATCCGCCGACACTCCCGCGCCGCTAGCCTGAGGTGGTTCCGGGCTCCAAGGGTTCCGCATCGCCAAGTCTCTGTGCCGTCAAGCCCGCATTGCCGGGATTCTTCATGCCGACCTCCCTTTGCCGCCGGTAAGACACACATCAAAGCCACTCCGTCTCAGCGGGCGTCAGGTGCAGATACACCTCGACGGCGATGGCGTGGAGAGCAAAAGCGAGCCAGGCGCTGGCCCCGAAGCTGAGATTGACGGCAGACGTGATTCGCTCCGGCCCCTGGCCTGCCCTCCCAACCGGCACGGGAACATGCTGTTCGAGGTCGGCGCCAGAGTAAAAAGCGGCGCAGGGCGGATACAGTCCCACGACCGTTGTCAGGAATCAGGATGCCTCTGTGGATGGAGTCGACGACGTAGCACGGCCGGACGGTGTAGTAGTTCCTGGGACTTTTGCCGACAATACCGGCCATGATAATAGCAATCATAATACGCATAGTAATAATGAAGCTGGCCTGCGTTGCCAAGTTCAGCAGTTTACATGAATACAATGTCGACCGGCTCTAGAAAGAAAACAAAAAACGTACCAGCGCCCACGCTCGCAGCATCCAGGCCCGGTGCTGCTCAATCTGCAACATCCTGATATTATAAAACGCAATCGCCTTGCACGTCACAGACACAATGGCCGCCAGGCCCGCGCAGACTGGACGTCCGGGCCGTCGCCGAGCCCATGCCTCGCAATCATAAAGACGCCAGCCACGCCGACCAGCGATAGCAGCAAGACCAGGTACCCGCCGATGCGGTGGACGACGATGGCCTTGTGGCGGATGGCAGGGACGAACTGAAACACGGCGAGCAACGCGGCCGGTAGGATGCCCGCCAGATGCATGGTGATGCGGGCCCTCTCGACGCCCCGGAGGTAGTTATAGCACTCGCCGGGGAGGGCGCCGGCCGCGCCCGGGTTGCAGAAGACGCCCCCCGATGTCGAGGTACATGAGGCGCGCGAGAGCGAAGCCCAGCAGCGCGCCGCCAAAGGCGACAAATAGGATCAAGTTGTAGCCCTTGGCGAAGCCGACGGCGTTGTAAATGCGGCGCGCCGAGGCTATGAAGGCGTTGGCCAGCGGCCGGCTCACGACTACCATTGTTGACGGCGGTATATCAACCACGCACGCATGTAAATAGAGACGCGCGTTATTATAAGGGCTTGGTGTCGGGCGGCCTTGGGGATTCCAGAGGCTGTTCACCAGATTGAGCTACCAGCAGAAGATATCCGCATTTACTCGAGGCCAGGGCGTATACGGCATTTTTGCGTTGCCCCCTGCGCCAGCTCGACAAAACACTTCGTCGTCCAACATGGCCCGTGTAGTTTCTGGACTGTGAGGCCATGGCGGCAATGACAGCTCGCCGTTTGCAATGGCTGCTTTTGCCCCCTGGGTCCGTGTAGGCCCAACACTCGGGGTGAGTAGCCCCCATTCCCGCCGCCGTCATGAACACTCCCATGGTAACTCATCCTATTCCCCAGGACCAGTGCTACAACACGTCACACCAGGAGAGATGATTGGTCCCCCGGTGAAGGACCCCGTTGCCTCATGGGCGTGAGTACGCATCATGCGCCAAAGACGCCCGCTAGCAACTTTGGTTGTGTCGCGATGGGATTTATTGGCGACAGCGACGACTGGGCAAGGCCGACGGCAGCCCTACCAGCTTGAGAATATCGCTTTTATATTCGTCCTATTGAGCGGTTTGTCGCGAAAAGCATGTCACCGGGGGCAGTCATTGGAGGCTGGGGCATTTGCCCGGTGCGATTGTGCGATTGTAGTCTGCAGCACCAGACGCCACGATGGCCTGCCGCGACGTGGTGTAAATCGAGCCGGGGCGTACCAAGCAGTTTTATCCAGCTACTCCCAGTTCAGCCACTGTCCTCTCCGGTAATATCAGTAGCCCTGCAAGTATAGACCTTTGGGCGTTGAGTTGGACCCCTGCCTAGAGACACAAGCACAACCATAATCACCACCAACGCCTTTGGCATTCTATACCACGTTCCCCCTTGACCCCTATAAGTCGAATATACCAGCAACCCCCGTCTTTCCAATCCGTCCACAGTGTCAACATCGTCATTCTTGCTTCGCGTGACCCTCGGACGAGCCCCGGTCCAGTTCAACCCCGTACCAAACACACAATACACCTCCCATATACACCCGCTCTCACATCTCACGCACCACCAGACCCCTTCCCATCACCACTTCTGCAGCACGTACCTCCTCTCCTCGCCGTCCTCGGCACCACTCGCAAACATATTCTCCAAAAACTCCAAATCGGCCAACGCCTCCCGCGCACTCTGCAGCGGCACAACCACGCCCCTGCCGTCCAGGATACTGCCCGCCCAAGCATCCACCTCCTCCCTCACGCCGCTCGTCCGCTCAAACCTCGTCTCGGCCTTGCTCCCGTCCTCCCCCGTCACCGTCACCACGTCCCCGTCGGACCTGACGACGCCCCTCTCGCAGGCAACCTCCCACTCGAACGCGCTCATCAGCGACCCCGCAGAGTGGAAGTAGGTGCCCGTGGCGCCGGACTCGGTCCTGACAATGGCCGTGACGGTGTCAATCGGCGCGAGGTGGCTGCGCGTCAGGGCCGTAAACGCCCTCACCGACGCGGGCGCGTCCCCCTCGCCCCGGAGGAACAGGCGCGTGGCGGCGGCGTGGTGCACGCCCCCGTCGAGCAGGAACCCGCCCTGGTAGGCCGGCGACGCGCGCCAGCTCGTCCCGTAGTACTTGTTGTCCGGGCGCACGAGGCCCGCGACCCGGACGGAGAAGTGGGTGACCCTGCCGAGGGCGCGGGCCTGCCCGGCGGCGTGCAGGAGCCGCGGGACGAGTCGGAAGTTCTCGGCGACGGCGAGGATGGGCTTCCCGCCGTCGCCGCCGCCGCCGGGGAGGCTGTCGTGGAACGAGATGAGGGCCTGCGCCGTGGCCACGTCCTTGGCGATGGGCTTCTCGGCGAGCACGTGTTTGCCCGCGGCGAGGGCGGCCTGCACGTACGAGGGCTGGGAGGCGATGGGCAGCGCGACGATGACGGCCCGGACGTCCTGCCGCCGGAGGAGGTCGGCGTAGTTGCTGCCGGGGGCGTCGTCCGAGTACAGGTCGGGCCTGGGCGCGTCTTTGATCTGCGAGGCCGTCTCTCGGGCCGACTTGAGCGACCGCGAGTAGAGGGCTTTGAGGTCGAGCTTGGCGTTTCCCAGGACGGCGGGCTGGTTGCCATGCGTCAGTTTTTGCGGATGAGGTGGACGTGGGTGGTTTGGGAGTGAGTGAGTGAGCTTACGAGATGCTCGGCCTTGACGAAGAGGCCGCTGCCGATGATGGCGACGCCAATGGGTTGCGTCATGATGGGGTTCCGGATATCTTGTCTACAGCTTTGATGAGTGGCTTCTTGGGCTGTGGGTCAATTCGGGTGCATGAATTTGATCCGGGGGCTATGAAGCATCCAGATCCGCGATGCGTGGGGGACGTCACATGAAACCTGTTGTTTTAGGCTGATCTGGAGTGATCAGTTATTTATTCTACTTGCCTGATTTGGTGGGTCCGCAAGCCGGCCGTGGGTACAATTCAGTTCTCATGCAAGGCCTCGGCAAGTGACTCATCGAGAAACGCTTTGGAACTCATCTGACAAGAAATGGTGCAACATTGAAAAAATAGTTGGATATCCTAGTTTAAAAGAATCTCTACATCTCCATTTGGAGACTGTATCTGTAACCCCAAACGCCGCGCACCCAAAGACTGTATGATTTGCCAAACTCCCTTTACATGAAACTATTGTGTATGGTGTTGATGAGGCTGAAACAAAGGCTGATGCTGTAATGGATGATGAGTGGGTATAGAATGATAGTCTTGTGGTATTGGATAATGTTGTTGTTGTTGCTGTTGCTGCTGCTGTTGTTGGTCGTGATTCCGTTGTATCTGGGCCGTCGACTGCAAAACCAGATACCCCGGTCCCAACATTGGGTGAGGTGCATATTTGTAGGTCATTGTGTCGAGCTCTCTGGGAGCCAGGATGACCGGCTGTGGAGCGGCAAGTTCGTGATATTGCCATGGCGGTACGTGCTGAGGGACGTACCAGGCTGGTAGCATCTGCGTTGGATGTGCATATTCTTTGTAGGGGTATAACGCGTGAGAATAGGCGGCAGTACCGGGTGTCATAACTGGCGAGGGTCTGTTGGTCGTCGATACCATAGTAGACGTCATTGTCGACTCGCTGCTTGCCATCCAGGGCTGATGGGTCGCCCATATTCCCCTTTTCCTCCGCATACCAATGACAAGAAGCACCATGAACTGCACCAGCCGGATCCACGTGTTGCCGAGAGCATCCACAAGATTCCACCATGGAGGACTGGCTCCTGTCGGAAGAAGCCACCGCGCATAAAGGGTGAGGAAAAACGTCCACCGGACAAAATCCAAGACGGTAATGGTAAGGTAGAGAATTGCGGCCTGGCAGCATCGAGTTAGCGTGCCGCATCCCTCGCGCATCGAGGCAAGCAAGCACTTACCTGACGAGTGAGCACACGAGCCTTGTGCTTGTGCATCACAAAAGAGGCATATCCGACCTGGAAGAGGGAGATGATCCACGAGGAGGTATAAAACGAGGCCCCCAGTTTCCCGACAACCTTTAATGACTGAGTGAGCTGAGCGTAGCTCGAATTGCTTTCTGAGCCGTTCCAGTATGCCACCCAAGATGCCGTCGGTTGTCCAAAGTATGCAAGGGCGAAAGCGAAGAGAATGGTGGCGGCAACGTACGCCGTGTGCCGTAACCTGGTCTGGTACTTGGATGATTTTCGATTCAGCGAGTGCATGAGTCCGTTTCCAAGCTCGATGAAAATAATGACAAACAGAATATCGACGAGATGCTCAAACAAGTTGCCGGTGAAGCTGAGATATCGCTCAGATCGAATTACATTACTTATCTCATCGTGCGTGTGATTGGCTGTATCGTAATAGCCAGCAGCATTTTGCCACGAGTCGAGAATTGAATTGAGGGCGTCGGCTGCAATAATACAGCTGAGGGAGCTGTCTTGTATTAGCCGTGTCCATGGCAAGCAATATTCGCACCATAACGCCAGCTACGAAACAGCTACAACCGACAGCATGTGCTGGTTTTGATACAAGACTCGGATGCTCGTTGAGAATATGCCGGATTTGACAGCCAAGACGGACTTACACTATTAAGAATGGATGGCAGGCCTTTAGCCAGATAAACGCTCGGCGAGAAGGATCCCCTCGACTTCGTGCAAGGAACAATGTCATCAAACCCACCAATATGACGGGTATTATAACGAAGCCTGAGACTCCCAAATGGACCAGAGTCCATAGTTGAGCATCCGTCATGACGATGGCAATTCGGCGTGGTTATAGATTGGAAGTGTTGTACTTGGCGCCAAGTAACCAACACATGGCAGGCATGGACCAGCAGCCGTGGGTGAAGGATGGGGGTTATTGCCGACCTCACAGAACGGGGTAAAGTAAAGTATTAAGAGGATTTACTCCGCAATAAGGCACGTATTGATTGTGCAGCAATATCGAACGAGAGGGGGAAAAAGGCAAGGGAGAGAGATTAGCTATAGGAACTAGCTAGCTTGGAAAGCCAGGACGGAGAAGGACAAATAAGAGGAGGACGAGCCGGTATGGGCGGGTGTGAAGAGAATGGAAAACCCGGGCGGGCCATTGCCAAAAGGGAAACGGCAAGAGGCAAGAAAATGGAATTCTGGAGCAAGGCGAGTTCGTTTCTAGGACAGACGAAAGTGAAGTGAGACAAGTCTGGGGGGTGGTGGAGTTTATGGGACAAGTCGAGTTGAGTCCCTCGTTGGTGTCAGTTGGTTGTGCTTTGATCGAGCATCCGTGGCTACTCAATTGTTGTTTGGGGAAAGCTATTCGACTGGGTGGCGCAAGTTGCGGGCAGAAATGGACCAGGATGTCCCGTCACGTCGCGGCGCCATTGGTTGGTTGTGTGAGCATCATTTGCGAGAGCATGCCTCAAGAGGGTCCATGTCTTAGTTGCGAATTTGCACGTCCCAACGAGCGTCTGAGAAAGTACGTAGTAGAAGAAGAAAAACCCGAAAGGCCAAAGGAGACAAAGACCGACAATAGAGGAGAGGGGGGTTCGGCGCGTCAACAACATGTTTGACACGCACCGAGGTTGCTGTCGTCCTCCAAGGCGGTGGCCATCCGAGTCATAACACGGCACCTTCGAACGTACGCCCGGCTGTATAACATTTTGTCCACTTCTCGGGCAGTTTCGCTGGCTCTGCGGGTAATACGCAATAGTGTTGCACTGCATGACACCAGTCTCGCTGCGGTTTGGGGTCGAGACAGGCGACAATGATTGACGGTGATATTGATGCAAGCACGATCGGGAGACGGACGGTGTGGTACGGGGCACAAGCCAAAAAGCTTGGCGGAGGTGTCGGACGGCCCTTGCAGGACTTGCAGACGAGACGCGACGATCATGACGACGATGGAAGCGCGGGTGCGAGGCCCGAGGCAACGTGTCCGAGACGAGGCTTATTCGAGGTGAGGTTTCCCAGCGCTCAAGCGAAAGTTTGAAGTTTCAAGTTCCACATTGCATCCGCCAAGCAACATCAGACTGCGGAGTAGATGCTCTGTGCCATATCGGATGGCTCCTTCCCAATGCTATCTCAGAGCGGGGGACCTGGGCATCTCTGGTCCAAGATGGGAAGCAGCACGGCCAGAAGCGGACAGGTGTGAGGAGTGCCTTCCCAAGGTTATCTGAGCAAGCAAGCAGGCATCCAGGAACGTCGCCATCTGTCCCACGCCAAAGCAACTTCTCCGTTCAACGGCAAGTCCTTTGGCAGCAAAGCGTCCGTCGTGCCCGCTGTGCACGCAGCAGGGATGGAAGACGGCTGGGGGCCCGAAGCGGTCATGGCGGCCCCGTCGCTTCTGTTGACAGCTGGTCGAGGCCGGGCCATCAGATATCAGATCGAGGGGTGGCCAAGAAAAGGGACTAATTCATAGCCAATGCCGCCCATTGTCGAGACTACTCCGTACAACAGCAATGCTTTACAGGACAATACAGGTATACATGACAACAGTTATGGGCGTTGTTGACAACATGGCTGGCTGCCTCGCTCTAGTACTTACTCTGGTACGAAGTACTACTCCTCTGCATGAAATTGTGCATTGTGTGCACCCCCTGCCGACTGCCGAGCAGGGGTCCCGACTCACCTCGTCACTTGGGCGCATGCCAAAATGTTTGATCATGTTTCTTCTTCTCCCCCCGTCAATGATTGAATCGCACGACTTGACTCTCAAATCGACGTCAAAGTGGCAAGCACAAGCGGCCTGGCATCATTTGCCGTGCGTTCCAAGGCGTCTGATGGTGGCCCAGCCGCAATCCATTTTGACACATGTCTCTAGCCGCCTCACGCGCCATCTCAGTTCCGCGCGCCCTTTCCCACAGTAGCCTGCGTCGTCATTGATGCGGTTCGGTGTGCTTGGGGCTGAACCGCCCGTCTGACTGCAGCTTTCACGGGGCATGCCGGGTAGGATAGAGGAGACGGGAGCCTGCATGACAGACGCCGTGCATCGTCCTGACGCTGTTTGTTTGTTTCCTGTCGTCTTCACGTTTTCAATATTTGGCAGTCGTGGCTTGCTGATGGTTGGCCCGAGATGCCTTGCCCCCGCGTGCAACTTCATTCTGTACAAGACATGCTCTTCCATTCCAGAGAGAGGACGGTTCCCACCGACCACGCCGACCACGCCGTCGAAAAGACGGTTTGCTCAATCTTGACTGTATCTGGAAATAATTGCCATGGCTCCACGATAGTTTGCGCTCCAGAATGGGGTATAAGGTGTGTGTCCGTGAGGTGAAGCGGTTGGGGCCAAGCGCGGCTGTTCTGCTGCCTGGGGTACCCTGAGGACTCGTGGGACTCGTCAAACACGGGATTCATATCATGTTGCCCATCACTGGGGCTGAATCGATGCATAACAGTATGCGTCTTGCCGTGCCGGATCTACTCCAAGGGCCTAAACACCAACCTAGGCCACAAGTATTCGAGCTAGATGGATTTCTGGGGCACTACTCCGGCCGGGGCGGCCGTGCTCTCGTAGATCAGGGCGGTGCCATGGTCGCATCGTCACAATGATACTACTAGGCGAAAGCCAAGATATAATTGTCCGCGAGTAGTCGGCTAGCCACAAAGCGAATCCCTCTACCCAGCAGCGGTGGTTATTTTGGCGCGGCTAGAACACACAGTCAACTAGAAATAGTTGTAATAGAAAGCCATGTTCGCACCAACGAGCTACCCTGTACCTCGAACAATTTTGGTCTTTCCAATCTCTTCAATCAAACCCAGTATATGGATCGCTTGCCGTCATGGACATAATACCTCTTCATATGTCTTTGTCCGTAAAATATTCCACGTCGTAGCACATTATTCGGAGTTGGTCCTGGCCCTGCCCCCCCTCGCTAGGTTCAACGGTACTCGGCGTTGCATCGTGAACAAATCGCCCGCAAACAGCGCAGCCGTCAAGCCAGCTCCTCGAACCGATACAGCTGCTCGACACACATCCTCACCGCGGCCGCCACGGCGTCATCGCCATCCAGGTCCCTTCTCCGCAGGGCCCTGGCAACGCCGCTCCCGAACCGCCGCAGCGGCAGCCCGTCTACCTCTCTCGTTCTCGCTCGCCGCAGCGGCGACACGCACCTCGTCCGCGGCGGGAACGGCGCCATGATGGTGAAGGTGTCTTGGTTTGCTATCCAGCAATTGCTGACGGCCGGTGGGAAAAGTATAAATCGTGACTGGCCTCCCTGGTGGAGCGGTAAGAATATGACGGATTGTGCTCTTTTCCTTGGGAATCGTCAACGGCCCGGGGGGAAGCATCCAATCGTGAACTGGTCTCTGGTGGCAACTATTGCTTGGAAAGTGCTTTTCAAGAGGCCTGAGTCGGTGATGAATCGAACTAAAACTCGTGGGAACGTGGATGGATTCTCAAGGGCTGGTATACAACTCATGGATCCCGTGATAGGCCAATGCGGTCTATATGTCGATTTTGGCCAGCCGGCGCGGGGAAGGGCACAGGGCGACGCGCGACAGCGTGGCACTGCATGCAGCTTTGCCTGCATATGCCGATGAGAGGATGTGAGAGGATGTGGGAGGACATGTCGCTGGCTATTGGTTCGTCCTCGTGCGTCTTCGCCAAGGGCCGCGGGTGAATGGTGGGATCCATGGATGGCTGCCAATGCGGTTTTGCTTGCTGCTGTCGCACTTTATGCTGCCGGACTGACGTGGCGATCCGTCCGTGGATCCAACATCTGCGACTTTTATAAGTGGCTCGTCCGTCCACTTGGTCGGTCAAGGCCTGGAGGAGCAACTCGATGGAAATCGCCGCTGCTCTGACTCCACGTCTTCAAATGGAAACACATGCTCCTCCAAGGCGCAGGAACGGCTCCCAAGCTCAAGAATGCGAGAATGATGCTAGAAAGGCCTCGTAGCGACCTCTGTCCGCCACTATTTCCCGACTCAGACAAAAGCCTTGCCGTCTAATTTCGCTTCCACGTCCGCCCTGGGCCTATTGGCGTCCATGGGGCTTCCCGACTGGTCTGCCTGGCCGTCCCAATCTTGCCTGAAGAATGGCTCCGTGTAACTGTCCTGCTCTTCAGACTGGCACGGCATACCATGTTGCATCATATACTCGTCGACAAAGGACACTCATGTGCCTTTTATGCTCCCCTGGAGTTTCAACTAGTTCACCTCCCCTCATTGGTGTTATAATAAAATGTTTGGCCGCATACAAGTAGCCAGCCAGCCACCTTCGGTGAATGTCAAGTACACAACGCAAACATGATGAGGGCAAAAGACAAAAATGAAGCTCTTCGCGTTACATTATGGAACTCGGCATTCTGCCCATGGCTGTGTTGGCACGCCCAGCCTATTTGGCTCGCTAATAAAATATGGCTGCAGAGAAAAGTCAGTTTCGACGGCGCGAAAATTGCGCATCGACGTGCATGCGGCAGCTGAACACCGAACTGATCAACCGTTGGTGTACACATCCAATCGCACAACATACTGTTTCGCATGGCGAAGAGCAAGTGCAGCGTCTGGCGCTGTAGTTAAAAGCCGGCGAGGGGGAGGGACCATGAAATGGCCATGTCCTTGGTACAAACGCTGATGACAAGATGGCCGCGGCTAAAGACAATCCTGAGACTGTCAGTCAAGCCACTGCCCAGATACCAAAATGAGATATCCAATTGTGAACGCCTCCCAATAGCTCCATGCCAGCACTTAATCCTCAATCTCCGCTTCCCCAGCCTGGTTCTCATATCGATGGTCCGGCAAATCCGGCATATTTTCTTTGAATGCAAATCCAAAATCTTCAATGGCCTTTTCACCTCCAAAAGCGCCGCTCACTGCTCCAGTGGGTTTGGTTTCCCTGCCCTTTCGCAGCCAAGCCTGCACCTTCAATGCCGCAGACGCAATGTCAGCGGCAACATGCCAGTTCTCAGTGCCCATGTACGTAAACGTCGTTACTGTCAATGTCTTGACCATTCTCGCATGGATCGTGGCGTGGCACAGCGGCGCAATCGCAATGTTCATCCATGCATAGATGCCGCTCAACGATGACCACCTATCCAGCCCAGCCGCCCATGCAAAGCTCCAAATACGAATGAATTCCGTTTCACTACACACCTCCCGAGTAGGAACCCTTTCCAAAATAGCCCTAGCCCAGATCAGAGCCGTCAGTCGAACACAAAGATACACCATATCAGGCGGATCATCAGACGACCTGCCCCCAACAGAATCTGCGACAGACAACCTCCTTGATGACGTCGCTGGATCGTCAAACTCCTCTCGCTTTCGCTTTTGGCCTGGGGACATGTCAGATGCAAGATCACGACCACCATCAGACTCTAAGACGACTTGATCGGGCAGCTGCCCCAGGTAAGCAACCATTGATGCTGCCATAAGGTGAATCGTGCTCAGCTGTGCATCACCTGCATCATCCGGTAGCTCGATAATTGCCTGCAGCAGCTGCCGCATGCCGTCCAGAATTTCCGCGGTGGTTACGTGCAGTCGAAGCGAAGACGATGGAATTAGGAATGGCGGACAATTAAAGAGAAACGGTGAGTTGAAATTTACTTGCAGTGGCACTCGAAAAGGGTCATCGAATTCGAATCCAGGTTGGCCAAACATGACAGGTTCGGTATCGTGACATAGAGCAATCACAGCATCATTGCTAGGAAATGTGGGTCAGCATTTCTTTTGACTTACTGTTTTGCGTATAATATTCTTGCAAAGGCGTAGTGCAACTCACAGCAGTGCAATTTTGCTAGTAAAGCCTTCCATGCCGAGGTTCTGACAACCTCCCCGAAGTTGGATCATCTTTTTGAAACCCGTCATGTGAGCATGCAATTCTTCAGTGCTGCTCCAGTACCACGACGTCAGGATCAGTTGCATGACTGCAAGCATGGCCGAGTCGCTCGTGCACAATGTTGGAGAGCTAATGTACTCATTGAGCATCTGCGCCGTTGTGGCCCTGTGAATGTGGAGAAGAACTTTTGGTAATCGACCAGTCTCGTGGAGGAAACTTGCCGTGGTACAAAGAACTATATGCAGAACAAGCCGATCCTGGATCGAATATGGAATCCAGTGCTTCATGAAACGATTCTTTGGCCGCGGACTCCCATCCAGCGAGGCTTTGAATCGACTCAAGAGTTGAAGATCTGTCGTGAAGTGTTAGCCGGATATAATGCAAGCCACCCCTTGTGGCCTGGTGCCAAGACGTACGAGTTCGGACAAGTTCCTTGTTCATTTTTGTTGGCGCCATGGGTAGACGCTGCATCTGGTCTTCAAAGCTCGAGATGTTCTTGCCTGGTTGATCCCTTGCGTGCAATGCCCGGATCAATTGCTTGCCGTCAATCTCCCATTCGTCCTGAACAATGCGGTTTGCAACACGTAATCGAGTTTGCATAATGTACTGGACCAACTCGATGAGGTTCCGATCTTTCAAAAGCCCTGACTTGTCTCGAAACTTCATCATGAAAGGTTTTCCCCCGGACCACGGTTCATCCTCCATTGAGTAAACAGGTTGCTCGCGGTGAATAAGACGGTATCGCTGAGGCAGCGCCTTTGTCTGTATGCCAAACGCGTTATCATACGCATCTCCCAAGTCCAGCCTACCCTCAACATCGAGAATGGCATCATGGACCGAGTCCATATCAAGGTGAGAATATAAGCCTCCAGCGCCGGCCTGCTGGGTGTTTTCTTTAGAGCCTGGAGGGCTCGACCATGTTCTATGTGAGAATTTTATTGTTAACACTTACTTGCCCCGGTATATATGTCGAAATATCCCTGCTTGGCCAGCTAGTCTGCAATGAGTGGATGCGATTGAACAGGGGTATCGGAGACCATCTTCATCAGTCATGGACCATGCTGTGCCGGGTGGAGTTGAAAGGGTTTCCTCGATTCCGTACCTTTTGACCTTGACGACGCCATACTCGCAAGTGGGTTGGGGGAAACGGCGGGCACAGTTGGTGCAAGGGTGAGTCAGTGAGCACTATTAGGTATACAGGACATTAGCAATCCGCGGCTCGTTTTGGAGTGGCTTTACTATTGACAAAATTTGGGTGGAAGCCAAGCACGCCTGAAGCAGCTTGTTGTAAACACAGGCTGCAAAAGTTGAAACTGTCTGTCAATGGCTGGAAGCAGGAGTTGCAGGCGCTTTGCAAAAGCAACGGCTATGCCGGAAAATGGACCCGAGATGTGGTTGAAACGAGAGCTTTGGGCATGCTTAAGGTCATAGAGTATCAATGGTCTCCATGTATCGCTGAACCCTGTAGCCTATGGCAGCGGCTGACTTCAAGATCGGACCTGAAGCCGCTGAACAGCCGAAGACCCTGTCAAATCGTAGTGAAATGCCCAAACTAGGGATGGTATCATGTGCCAAACCCAGGTGTACGTCAAACTTTGAAGCGGCAGATCGCCCTCACATAAGCGGTAACCCAACACAGGCAAACCAGCGGCTTCGTCACTTGGCAACAAATAATACTAACCTTTTGTTTCCTCCGCCGACACTCTTTGCATGCCGAAGGGTATCTCGTCTTAAATACCAAGCCACGCTCCTGCGTCCCGGAGACGGGCTGAGCTTCACGTTCTGTCGGAGGCGAACCGTATGGCGTGTGTGGGTGCGGCTGAGCCCCGTGCATCTGCAAGCTTTCGGAAGCCATGTTCTCTATCCACTTGGGTGTAGTGAACGGTTACCAAAGACTCGGAACGCGCCAAGGCGCTGCGACGTGGAAGCGACGGCCAGAAGCCCCAGTTGCAAGCGTTTCCGAAGCCCTGGCTGAGGGTTGATGCTATATGAGTCGTGCTGCCACGCGACCGGCTGAACGGAGAACCACTGACTGTCCAGCTAAAGCACGTAGATAGGGCTGAGGGTGTGGATACAACTAGGCTACGCGCTGTGTCGGATAGTCGGAGATGCTCGGAGGACGCGTGTGTGAAAGCAAGAGGACTGGATTCGTCTTAATTTCTGCGCGTAAAGATGCCTCTGTGCAAGATGCGGAGAAGGGCAAACGCTGAGTGGAAAAATTACCAGCAAGACAAACAGCCGGTGGAGCCTTTTTAAGAGACTTGAGGATCGGGCAGGCCAAGCACAAGTAACGGCAAAAGAGTGAGCCAAAGGGGTAGCGAATGGACCACTGGGAGGCGAGAGTGAGAAGACCAAGTTTTCTTGACTGGTGCTCAAGCTCTCTCCCAAGAGCCGGAGTCCTCGTGTTCAGTTGAGGCTCTGGCCAAATGGTTCTGACAGGCGGGAGCCAAGCTGAAGTGGTCCGTTTCGTTGCCAACAAGCCAGTTGACTGGGTACCTGCGCGTCCTTTGCTGCAAGGTCAAGCCAAGGGACGAATGAGAAGCAGGATAACCCAGTCGAGGGCGAGAAGGAGCCGACGAGCGAACGGGCGAGTGTGAATGAGGGGTTGGCGGTAATATGTGACGGATGGATCGAGGCGGGGAGTGGACCGGTCGAGCGGTTGGTCTTGTTCTTGACCCTTGATCGGAAGCGGGAACCTTGCAAGTCATCCAAATTGCAATGTATAAGTAAGGAGTAGTCACGAAGAAAAGAGAGTGCGTAGTTGAGAAAACGAGGCTTCAAGTTCGAACTTTAGCAGGTGATGTGGACAACACGCGCTTCGTACAATCCTACAACATGCATTAAGGAAGGAAGGAGTGCACAAACCATTCAGGATGCTCCTTCCGTCCATCCTGCCAGGCTTTTGCGCTCTATTCCCCTCCGTAATGACGTTGAGGATTCTGATTTCCGTTTCCATTCTGCATTTCACCTGTGTACCAACAGGAGACCAACGACCAAGAGAAAAACAACGACAGCACAGCGCAACACAAAACCCACATGTCCCCCGTCAGCGTGGTATCATGCCAGCAGACCTTTGTGCTACCAGAGCTTGCATCCTATCTATGGCATCATCTGCATCGGGCATGGTGCCAACCTGGGATACGATGCCCGCAAGCGTCCTCCGCGGGTATCAGTCACTGGCAGAACTCTCTAATATCGCAACAGATGCTGCAATACGCACGAAAAAATACGAGACGAAAAGGGCTGAGAGGTTGGAAAATGCTGCATATGAATTTCCGTCTAAATCCTACAGCGTAGATTCCGTGGACAGTTCTGTATGAAAGCCATCAATGATGCCAGCTTCAAATACTCGAATCTGTCACATCGTTATTTTCCCGGGAATATGCGCGCCTTTCCGCCTTTCCGCCTTTCATCACCGTTTGATATTGCATTTTAAAGCCCGGAGTCGTCCAAATTGTATCGACTGGATTCGTCCATAAATTGTACCCCGGATTGTCCTTTGGAAACCGGGCATCTGCCGACAAGGAATTAGCCCAAGAAACAAGCTCTCGTACATTGTGATCCCGACAATCGACTTACCAGTTCCCTTTCCTGTGTGCTGTACCAAGAGGGTATGGAGATGACAAGTCAAGGAGTATCTAGAAGTAAAAGAAATATCCTTGCTAAGAAACTAACACATTCTTTCTGGCAGGCCGTATCATTAACAGACGCCTACGGGCCTAGCCAGAGCCTGATTCTCACGGATTTTTTTTTCTTTTTTTTTGGCTGCTTAGCAGAGGGCAAATCCACCACATCTCTGCGCCTGCGTACCCGCTCAATATTCAACATGTTAAGTTACTTTTGGGATATGCTGCAGTCCATCGGTGGCGGTGGTGCTACCTTCAGAACCGAGACCGAGGCCCAAATTCTTAGTGTGGTTGATTACGGCTTCCGGTCTTATTAAACTCTTTGAGTGCTTGTCACCGTCATTTGCAATGCGCGGTCATCATATTTATTCACAAGGCTATTGGATACGGACTGGCACATGTGCAAGCAGGTCATCAACCCCAGCACATGTGTCCACAGTCCGGACCATTACATGGCCTTTGACCTCCAAAGGCAGCGCCAAATGCATTGGCTTGAGCAGTTTTGGCTATTCCATCGAGGTACACAGCGTCGGGCAATCGTCCTTATTGGCCGATTCAAATCTCGCCCAGTAGCCGAATCCTTAATCGCCGATCATTGAAAATGATCGTACGGGACGGATCTGCGATTCTCTGCTGGCCAGAGTACGTAGGTCGCGCCGTGCTGCTTGCCGCCGGTAGCTTGGTAGGTACTGAGAAGCCTAGAACAGTTAAAACGGCGTTATTTTATGCGGGTTGCCAAATGTAAGCACCCTGTACGCAAGCCATCAGCTGCAGTGTTAGTGGCTCTACATGGGAGCATTTATGCAAAGCATCAATTATCCAGCAATCGGAAGTTTCAATCGTATCTTAACCGCCTAATTTACATAATGGCCCACCACATTTTGAAGGGAGCAAATGATTGTGTTGTCCAATTATATCTCCCCGCGAAAGGGCCTTGATTCGCACATATCCCAACTCTATCCACCCAAAACAACAATAATACCTCCTCAGCCAGCCCATGCCCAATGCGTATATACACGGAAAGATGATTATAATAGATCCTACTTAAAGAACAAAACGACTTGTGGTATTGGTGGAAACAAGATCCAAGACGAGCCGTAAGAAAACAGACACTGAAATCCCAGTAACAATTCCAGTATTACTGCACCAAACGCCGACGCGATGGCATCGAATTGCGTGACAGCAGCGACGGAGACAATCATTATCTTTTCTCCGTTTGCACTCATTTTGCCTCAAAGCTGTATTCCCTTAGAATTGATTAGTGCGCTCGGTATTCAGGTTTTCGAGCCATGTTCACAGGCGGTGGTGGTTCATCGTCGTCCACGGGATATGGCGGGATAGATGCTGATGATACCCGAGTGGTTGGTGGCTGTGGCTGACGATGGCGGTTATTGCTATCTGGCAGGGGTGTCTTGGGCGGTAGGGGAGGCGGCTCAATCCGAGTTGGTGGTACTGCGAATTGCTGCGGCGGAGGTTGAGCATGCTCGTCTGGACCCATAATGGCGATTTTGTCCGAATGTGTGGCGTTTTGATATTGATTCGGGGATGGCGATGATACCACGAGGCGGTCTGGATCATCTGGAATAGGCGATGCTTGCCCTGGTCGAGAGCTCCCCGTGCTCGGACGGACTCGATCATGTGAACTGCGTGGAGATCCTAGCTGGTTTGAGCCAATATGTAGACTGTCGGGACTGGAGTCGAACGATGAGCGGCTTGGAGGGCTGAGAGGAGCAATCGGTTCGTCTCCGGGCAACTCTACGGCAAGCGGCATTTCAAAGTTGGTTGCCGACGTAGACTTGACAAGTTCTGGAATGCCTTGCTGGGCTCGCTCCCACCTGATTTTGGCCTTGAGAATCTTGGCTAGCTTGCTGGTGATGCCGTGAATCATCTTCTGTTCCGCTTCGCGAGCCATGTATCGGCGTGTGCTAGTGCTGATATCTCCCAACCTGTGCCACTCATTCATGCCGAATTCGCCGACACCAACTTCAACGTTGAGACGATAATAATTCTCGATATTGACACCCCGCTTCGTAAGGTGTTCCCTTACCATATATTCGTGGATCTTTTCGCATCCTTCGATTTTTGAAATGAGCCGTCTTCGAGCTTCTGCAAACTCCCCAAGGAACCCTTCGTACCACACATGTTGATTCGAGTCACTCGACTTCGGCCGCCGTCCGGTTCCAACACTGACAAAGACTCCAATCTCACGGCCGGGCCACTCGTTGATCACTGCTTCATCCAATGCGTCGGGCGCTGGGTTGAAGGTCCCCACGCCGTCATCGTGGAAAATAGATTGTCCAATACGTATGGGCTTGAATGCCAGGCCAATCGCGCTAGTCGCGCGTCCAGCTTGCCAAATCTTGCAATCGAATTCGGGCGGCGGCTCGCGTCGTGAATCATATGAGCGCAACAAGGCTGGTGGTGCGTTGCGTGGAGATCCTTGGTAGATGGCAGTTACGGCTCTAAGCCAAGTCAGTTGGACAAGTTAACCAGATAAACAGTTTTACTCACGTTTTGGTTCGTGTTTCCCGCGCATCATATAGTCTTGCATGTGGATTTCCATATCTTGAGTTGAAGGCAGGTCGCGATGCCATTTGGGCCGATGGACTGCGAGCACTGAAGCTGACAGTACTAGCATTGCTGGGATTGCGCCGAGGTGAAGCGCTCGAGTATTGCGCAGCGTTAAGTGGACTGACAAGGTCATAGGCTTCCTGACCGTCATTTCCTTCCTTCTCGTAGATGGTGTGTTCTTGAACAGCCTGCTGTATCGCTTCCTCAAGCTTGCTAGCTTTGAATAGCGTCGATCGATAGGGGATGCCAGCAATAGTCTTGTCTGTCTCAAAGACAACTCTTGTCATCCGTACATATAATTCTTTGCATGTTTCCAGATCCAGGCGCAGTCGACCAAGCATCAGAGCGATCAACCCGCCAGTTCCGGTGCCGACGATTAGGTCAAAATGGTCGCAGGGCTTCGGGATCTCATGACGACGGGGGGCTCGGCCTTCAACTTCGACAAACGTTCTATGCATGAGCTCTTGTACAATAATGAGCATAGAGTAGCCGCGCACGCCTCCTCCATCTATAGCATGATTAGTGTGGTGTTTTGTTTTTTTAAAAAAAGTGATACGCTGAAGTCTAAGCAGAAGAAAAACCAACCTAGGGAGAGCACGCGCAACGGCGGGCCCTTGGTGGTGTCCTTCCGACGGACGCCGTAAGCATCCATAGCGGGACTGCTCAGATCAGGAATTTCTCAAAAATTGAGTAATGGAAAAGAGTCTGGGCGGTATCGTGAATCTGCCTTTAGGCGAAGCAGCGCTGGCGCGTGTTGCGAGAGTGGCTCTGATATGCGGATGGCCGGTTATCAGCCGTGCCTGGCTGTTGGGAGTATGTTCAAAGTGAGAGCAGAGCGCAAAACAAATTCAGTCGGGGGCGCAAAGATGCCGCCACATCTGCTGCAACGGTGCCGTGACGTAACGTAGAGAGGGAGGCAGAGCAGAGATTCCCGCTTGTCGGCAAAGGGCAGAGGCGGGCGGGGTGGGCTCAGATGCTCTTGTCAGCGGGGCAAGTTCTGCAGCGCCACTCGGCCCAGACTAACCTAGAACAAAGGACGGACCTGCCCGTTGTTAGTGGCCCCTGTCGCCGAACTTGGAATTTGGTCGTGCAACTGGTGACGCAGCCTTGTTGCTGGAATGGAAGGTCTGGAAAGGCTGTAATCAATATCTTGACGATGCTGTGAGAAGGTTGTGATGATGGAAATGGCTAGCGAGGGAGAGCCATCGGAGGTTCGAGATTCTTGGGCAGGCGCGGAACCTTGTCATGGCAAGAGCTACCCGATAACCCCCGCGCGTGACGCAGCATACGAGGCTTGGCTTGAGGCTGTCGTGCCGGCCCTGGGCAAACCTGCAGAGTATCCGAAGTGTTCGATGAAACAATGTCCCCTCACGCACGAGAGTCGCGGCGACAGATCACGCGAGATTTATTACATGGTACGACCTGCAACCAGAGAGGCTGTGCCCTTGCTATCGAACAGGAACGAAGCCCAACCTTCATCTCTGGGCGATTTGGTTTGTAACCTACCCTGTATACCAAGCAGAGAGGCCACCAGCGGATGGAATAATCGCCAAGGCACCACCCTAATTTATTTAGAGCAGCCTGGTATGAAAATCAGGAAATCAGGAACACTAAACAAGATACCAGTGGGGTCTGGTCCTCTTGTTCGTGTTTTTGGATCCCAACAGGATGGCCAGAGCATGTACTCTGTACGGACGCGTTCTTGTACAATAAACATCACAAGAGCCTATCACAGGGCCAAGTTGTCATCAGCTTTGTTTCAACTCTTGGCAGTTCTTGATGCAACGCTTCGGATGTTCCCTCAACCACACGCATTGCTCTTCGCAGTCTGGTGACCACGTCCGCGGTTTTGGATCTTGTCTTGGCTGCCAGGATTATGCTACAAGCTGTCATCGCAAGGCCGTGACGATACCCATAGCCGATTGGCTGTTGCTAAATTTTCTCCTTGTTGCTTGTTTTCATCTTGACAACTTTCAGTGGTTCGGACAGTCTCCGCTTGCACATGGTTGGCTGTGTCTCGCCACAGGGGTGATAACGGTGCTGAATGGCATTCCCCAAGGATATCCCAGCAGATACAAAACCTACTCAACTTGCCATGTCAAGCTACAATTAACTTAATCTGTTGGATGCTTCCATTAGCTCAAAGGGGTTTTATAATGGGCCTATTTCCTCCATCTTATCCGTGTCCTGGTGCCTGTCCAGATCGACGTCTCAAAACGTTTGCTCAAGTTTTGCCTGGATATGCCCATCATTGTACAATAGTGACGACACACGACGCCTCGAACAGTATGTAGAAGATCGAGCCCATGATTAAAATTAATCCATTTCATCATGCTGCGGTACAAGGCTTGTAGGTGGCTTTACCATATCATAGTCTATCTATCTGGGCATCCTGGTCCTCACACAGGCTCACCGCCTTGGGCTCTCGGGTGCCTGTATCGTTTTGTTGTTGGGTTGCGGCAACCTTTGTTCAATGAGGCTGTCGTTGGGCACCAGGATGACCAGAAAACGGGTGTTCGATCGACAGCGAAGTGCCGACCCTGGGAAGAGCCATGTACTCTGTACTCCGTACACCAGTTGAAAGTAGGAGAGCACGCGGGTAGCAGAAAACACGAGACACTCACCACTCACTTACATAGACAGAGTGTCTCCTGTTTTCGGCCACCCCATTGGAGAGGTGATTTGCGTTGCAAGCCAACAAATGCATGGCGTTCAAACAGCTGGTCGATGCTTTCTGCACCCATTTCATTGTCTCGGCTGGCCGCTGCCTAGAGGCTATTGATGCCAGCGACCCAACCAAATAACAACAATCTTTTGGTTAATTGGGCATTCTGGTTGTGCCAGATCTGCGGGTATGCTGTGGACACGGTGTATTTGGGCCCCCGAAGCAATACTATACGCAATTGGTTGCCTTGACGGCTAGGTTGAATGCGTCAACCCCGGGCCTTCTGGATGATGTTCGAATGGTGAGACAGAGCATAGCGTCTCTGTCACTGGCCGCACGGGTCAGTACGGGGAACAAGGCGCATCAGCAAGTTGGCCTTGAACTGCATACTAGAGTAGTAGGACGGCAACGTTGGCTGAGACGAGGCAAGGGGTACAATGCCTCGTTGTCGGCTGCGGATCTTGTTGTTGCTCAAGTCGGGCTGAGCTGAGCTGGAGAGTTCAGTACGGAGTACTCCGTAGATGGCATTGGCAATTCTGCAGGTCTGGATGCGTGGGAGCACCAATGGCGCAAGACGTCAGATGCAGAGGTAGATTGCCAATGATGCCACGTTTGGATTCGATGTTTGGGGAACATGTTTGCTCAACGTTTGATCGGTCTGCTAGCTTCGAACTTTAGAGCGGCAACGTCAAGATGTGTAGTAGTCCAGGAAATGGCGCATGGAAAACAAGCGACGATGAAGGCAGCACTCACTCAGCCGTTTGGTAGTTATTTTCAAGTTTCATTGGTTTACGCATTCCATCATGCCCAGGTGAAGACGGTCCAAGGTCAAACGGGTGCAGATGTTTGGCTAGGCCCCACAGTCCCACGGCTGCGTTCAAAGCTTCAATGTTGGCTTGCCCGGCTGGACCACTCAACAGCCTCGGCTATGGGCCAATGGCAGCGCATAGGGCCCCCAACACTAGAGGCCTAGAGGCACCGTTACATTGAGGAGAGAAGATTCAGCGCGTTTTCTCTACCTCTGCCTCCAGATGTCAACGGTCTGCTTCTGCGCCTCCAGTCTGCGTGCTCTGGGCTGTTGTTGACGGGGGTCGTCGGTTGATATTTGTCGTTTGCCTTCTGGTCCGTCAATGAGATCTGCGCGCTGTTTTTGGCTTCAAGCTTGGTGATGACAAGGTCCGGTGGACCAGGCCGACTATTTGCAAGCACACAAGCGAGCAATCAATCAATCAATCAATCAATTAAGCAAGCAGGCCTCGCATGTCCACGACGGCCACGCCAGCTCTCCACGCAGCCTCCAAGTCCTCTCTCTCGCTCGAACCCACTCCTTCAGCCAGCTCACGCCCTTTTGCTGCCATTCTTTGCTCTGTTTTCTGCTCTGCTCCTCAGCTCAGCTCATGCTGAAATGCCCTTGACCGTTTTAGTGGCAGCCTCGTCCACAGCCTGTCGACTTTGCCCTCATCTGCAGCCTCGAAACCCACTCCCTCTCCCCTCTTTCTTTTCTCTCGCTGGCCAATTCTCCCGGCGCAGGCTTCGAGGCCAATCAATGGAACTGCTGGCAGCCTTCTTGTTCTCTCTCTGGTCCGCTGCTGCGCTGTCCGGCCTTGTGCCGTCTTTTCGTGGCTAATCAGGCCAGTTCCGCCTTGTGCTGGCCCTCAGTGCCACCGTTGACCCGTTCCGTCCGCCTCTTCATCGCATTGCACCGACACCAACCAACTTGCTCCACCTTGTTTGGTCCTCTCTACGACGGCTCTTTCGTACTCTTTTTATTTCCCTCTCTTGTTTTCTTTTCCCTTTGTCGCCAATTGCGCTTCGCCAATTCTACTGCCGCAGTCTCCGCGGCTCACCTGTCCATGGAACCGACTACAAAAAAGAGGAAGTTGGCTCCAAAGGTCCACGCTTCGCCGGCCGCCAATCCTCCGCCTGCTGTGCCTGGTACTGCCTCTGGTTCTACTACAGCTACAACTACGGCCACGGCCACGGCCGCAGCTACGACTGCTGCTGTTGCTGCCGCTGTTGCTGCCACTGCCCAGTACACCCACGAACCATCGGTGAGCTGTGAAACACCTCCACCATTCTGGAATACTGCCCAGTTTCCTTTCTTCACCATGCTTGCGGCACAACCCAGCTAACACGATGCCCAGCTGTCACAGAGTCAGCATTATACAGCCCACGATGTGCCGCTTTCCGAACGACAGGACTTTGAGTCCTTTGCCCGACACCTCCAAGATGCTGCCATGTTGATTCAGCGCCAAACCGAAAAACCGCCTTATGGAGATGTTTCTGTTTTGCTCTTGAGCTGGGAGGAGGATCATTCTGTGGATGACGACGTCGTCGCCTTCGAGCAAGTATTGCAGAACACATACAACTACGCCACTCAACGATGGCAAATCCCCACTGTACCAAACCCGAGTATCAAACTTGGTGTGCAAATGGCATCATTTCTTGAGAATGCTCGGCCGAACCACCTATTGATAATATACTATGCGGGACATGGCTATGTTGGTGTCGATGGTCATTTGTACTGGGCTTGGTGAGTCTCGTTGAGCTGGCTATGGCGTAACCGTGGCAATGTCTGACTATTTGATGCACAGCAATGGCCGTGAAGATGCTGCTAAGCTCAAGTGGGACGGAGTCAGATGTTTGTTCGAAGATGCACAGTCCGATATTCTTCTGCTACTGGACTCCTGTGCGACAGCTGATCCTCCAACCGCAGGCAGTCATGGCATAAAACAGGGCATCGCCGCTTTCACTCCTGAACACGGCTCAAGGGAACAGGGAAGCCACTCCTTTACAGCTAATCTAATTGAAGCTCTGCAAAAACTGCACAATGGACGACCCTTTAGCGTCAATCGGCTCTACGAGGAACTTGTGGCACAGAGGCAGCTCCAAAATGCACAAGCTAGCAGACCTCTGAACCACACGCCGGGCGCGCCTGTGCAAGGCCAATTACCGCTGTTATTCACCCTGACACCTGGTCAAAGTCAGCATCTCATTGTGGCGCCTTTGCCGTCGCGGCACACTGGGCCAACTCAAAACGGCGGTGAAGCATCTGACGGCCAGGCCTATCGAGCACGCGAGGATCACCTCATTGATCCGGAGTCTGTGGCAGACATCCGATTTGACGAAGCTCGCATATTGGTTTGCACGACATTTGTTGGCGATGCGAGTACCGATATGTCATATTTCAATCAGTGGCTCCAAAATACGCCACCACTTGGGTCCAAGATTTCGGTAGAGGGAATGTTTTTAGGCCCGCCAACGATGCTACTCATTTCCATGCCCCGTTCAATATGGGATGTTGTGCAGCACGACAAAGTGTGTTGCCTCCTTGGAAACGTGAGCTCCCACAATATGCTCCATCTGTATGAAAGACTGGTCGGGCCCGGCGGCGTTCGTCCATCTGCAAAGGAGGTTGAGGACGGCAGAATATTGTTGGAGGCGAGAGAACTGGCGGCTGGTACACCTGCGAGGGTAGCACACCGGGTCGCTGAACGCCACGACCACCTTTACCGCTCCTCTGCCCCTCGGGATCACCCTGAATTGGTGCCGCAGAGCAGCTCCTCGCAGGCACCATTTAGCCTCGGGACTCAAAAGCCCAAGGACGATGTGGAAGACTCGGCGGAAATGCAGGAAGCAGCAGAGCAACTCAAGGCACTGAGTCATGTGCGCCAACGAAGCAACGAGGCGCTCCCAGTGGCGGAAAGAATCCGAACCAACTTGCCTGGTGGGTTGTCCAACGAGACGCCTCGATTGCCTCAAGGCACAAGCGACGTCGCAGTTGATGATTCAGCAATGTTGATGGATATTAAGATGACACCTAATTCAAAATCAAAGGGTCCTCGGCGATCCGTCTTTAAGCAAGAGTATCGATGCAATCACTGTAGTCATGCCCCATTTAAAGACTCGTCGTCTCTTCGCAAGCATGTTGCCGCTGCGCACACGAGACCATTCCCTTGCGCATTTTCCTTTGCCGGCTGTACCAGTACCTTTGGGTCCAAGAACGAGTGGAAGCGGCATATTGCCTCCCAGCATCTCTGCTTACAGTATTATCGCTGTTCTGCTTGCCCGCAGACGGCAGCAGAAGGCAAGGGCAATGAATTCAACAGAAAGGACCTCTTTACGCAGCATTTGCGGCGAATGCATGCCCCGTTCCAGATCAAACGAGCGATATCGCAAGGAGACGGGCAGTTACAGTCAGATTGGGATGCACAGGTCAAGGAGATGCAACAATCGTGCTTAGTCACACGACGCCAACCACCGCAACGAGCAGCATGTCCAAAACCAGACTGCCGAAAGGAGTTTGACGGAGCGAATGCATGGGATGAATGGACAGAGCACGTAGGACGCCACATGGAAAAGGGAGAAGGGCCGGTTCTTGGAGCGGATGGGCTACTGGCGCAGTGGGCTTTGGACGAAGGAATTATCGAACCCAAGGGCGATGGGGAGTACCGATTATGCACCACTAACGGACTGCTCGGGTCATCGCAAGGCAGTTCGGGGCCAGTGGTAGATCGAAAGGACTCAATGATGACGTCGTTTACCACCGATTCATCGCAGCTGGTGGACACATTGATGGCGGATTCGAAGCCGGGCGATGGCGAGGTCGATACCAGCCAGGCTACCGTTGTGTAGGGTATGCGCAACTTGGTGTGGCAGAATTCACTATGGAGCGGCACATATACAATCATTGCGAAAGCGCGGACCAAAAAAAGAAAAAAAAGAAAATCCATGCCGAAAACAGGATAACGACGTTACGAAGCCACGACTCATTTATCATTTTATACAACATGACATATCTGGGGTTTGGGGAACACAAAATATTTACTTGTTGGTACTTGGGCCGGTGATTTGCTGCAATGGAACCTTGTTTTGTTCATGGGCGTCAAGCCAAAAGTCGACGGGGTGGGGAGGCGTTTATTTCTATTTTCATTTTTCGTTTTTACGACAACTTGGAGTGCATTTTTTATTTCGCTTCCAAAAGGGCTAGGCCGGAATATGCAAGACTTGTGGTCTTGGCATCGGAACGGTGATATGGCTGGTGTTGCGATGTGGGAAAAGGGAATCATGATGTACAATAGGAGTGACGGTACCCGGGATTAGTGAATACATGTCTACACGCTAAAGTGGCGGCGTCAACAGCGGTGCGCATATGCTAGATGTTGAATTCCCTGGGATTTGGAAAGTTCGGCCATCTCGATGTGACTGAGCTGCGCAAAGACGCAAAATGGCGCTGATGGGAATTGAATTTAATCGCGCAACCTAGATGGATTCAAACGTTTACGTTTTGTATTTGCATTTCATCTGACTAACTCGTGAGATGGGAACAGTGCATCCGTCCCAGAAAGTCAAGTGGTGGGTTCACTTGCCAACCGTGTACGTGGCAGCCCTGTCGAGCGACAAGTCCACGTCGACGGAGCGGCTATACGTCCTGGATCCGGCGAGGGAGTGTGTCGTCGTCTGGCCGGGCGCGGGCTCGGAGCCCGAACCCAACAGGGTGATTTTGCGGATGCTCGCGGGGCCGGCGTAGTCGAAGACGCCGTCGACGGAGAGGCGGCCGTTGTCGTAAGTGAAGTTTACGAGGGAGTGCCTGCCGTGCTGGTCGAGGGACACGCCGTCGTCGAGGTACAGCTCGCCCCGTGCGCGGCCGCGCGCGTCAAGCGGCACGAGCAGCTCAAAGGGCTGGAGGCGCAGCTGGGCGGTGGTGAGGGTGGCGTTGAGGCGGGCGGGGACGATGACGCCGGCGCGGAGGAAGAGCGGGATAGAGGCGGTGTCGACGCCGGTGACGGTGACGGTGCGGCCGGCGCCCCGGACGGGCCGGTGCGAGTACCAGTCGTAGAAGAGGCCGGCGGGCAGGTAGACGTCGGCGGAGGTGGCGCCGGGCTCGGTGACGGGGGCGACGAGCAGCGCCGGCCCGTAGAGGTACTGGTCCTCGAGGGCCCAGGCGGCGCGTTC